TGGAGGGAAAGAAGATTTACTTCTGTGTCTGCTGTTCTGCTGTTCCAGCTTGCAGGAGATCCAACGGGGAAATTCCTTGTAAGGACTAAAGCTAATTCCCCATTCGACTCCAGGAAGGAGCGGCTCCAGGGCCCCAGTCAAGCCACGGCGACTGTGGGCAGAAGTGCTGCGGTTTGTCCCCTGTTCCAGCTAGGAAGCGGTCCTTTGTGGAGGTACCTAGCCGGGGTACAGGGAGCTCCATTACATTGGTGGCAAGCGGTGGGATGGCTTCCTAGCCTTGGGAAAACCAGCACTACTTCAAAGATGGAAGTCATGTACCGTACATTGAGCAGTTGTGTTAGAGTGGATTGTTTATTTGCCAAATCTTTATAGGTTAGTAAAGAGCCATCCTTTTTATGGGATGTCTCTAATAGCCTAATTTCCTTAGTTAGTGTTTCTATTTTGGCCTCCCGGATCTTATGCGTTTGGATGAAAGAGCTATGAACAATCTCCTAATTAAACATTTGTGTACTTCCCATGAAATGAGAGGAGCTCCTGATGGGGTGCTATTTTCCGCAAAGTAGTGTTTGAGAGCAAGTTTAATCTTGAATATTATGTTAGGGTCAATCAATAGCAAGTCATTTAATTTATATTGGAAGGTTTTGATCGGAACAGATGGTATTTAAATGGCAAGAGACAGGGGCGCATGGTCCGACCATGTGATTGGGCCGTAGGAGCATGATTGTACAAGATGAAGAAACCTATGTGGGAGGAGGAATAAATCTATCCTGAAATAGGTGTCAGTGGCAGGGGAATAGAATGAGTAGTCTCTCATATTTGGATGGGCAACTGTCAAAAAGTTGGGATCGGTCCAGTATATGATGTATTCTTTGTCGTGTGGATATCTGATAGGTATGTGTACTTGAGGTGGTATCAAGTGTAGAGTGTAGGGAGATATTTAGTTCACCCCCCATATTTAAGATGCCTTCCACGAAATGATAGATAGACTGTATGCAGCATCTCAAGGATTGACATTGCCGTCGGTTAGGTAAGTACATATATACAAAGGTCACCATATTATGGCCTATGAGTCCCTTAACCATCACTAACCTACCATTGTCGAAACTTTCATGTTTTACATATGTGAACGGGACCTGTGTAGAGATTAAAAAGGCCACTCCCCATGTTTTGGCCTCCGTGAAGTTACTGAAATATGCAATGGGGAGATGAATTTTTTCGGAAATGGGTTTCTTGTAAAAAGGCAACATATGCTTTGAGTTTATGGAATTCTGTAAGGGTTAGATAGCATTTTTCAGGAGAATTTAAGCCTCTGACATTCAGAGAGACCAGTCGGAGAGCAGTCATTGTAGATTTAACAGTAAGTGCATCTTCCCCATCTCAGGTCCCCAGGCAGCAGCTAAGAAACAAAAATACAATAAACTATGTACATACAGTTGCAAGAAAAAGTATGTGAACCCTTTGGAATGATATGGATTTCTGCACAAATTGGTCATAAAATGTGATCTGATCATCATCTAAGTCACAACAATAGACAATCACAGTCTGCTTAAACTAATAACACACAAAGAATGAAATGTTGCCATGTTTTTATTGAACACACCATGTAAACATTCACAGTGCAGGTGGAAAAAGTATGTGAACCCCTAGACTAATGACATCTCCAAGAGCTAATTGGAGTGAGATGTCAGCCAACTGGAGTCCAATCAATGAGATGAGATTGGAGGTGTTGGTTACAGCTGCCCTGCCCTATAAAAAAACACACACCAGTTCTGGGTTTGCTTTTCACAAGAAGCATTGCCTGATGTGAATGATGCCTCACACAAAAGAGCTCTGAGAAGACCTACGATTAAGAATTGTTGACTTGCATAAAGCTTGAAAGGGTTATAAAAGTATCTCCAAAAGTTCATCTATAAATGGAGAAAGTTCAGCACTGCTGCTACTCTCCCTAGGAGTGGCCGTCCTGTAAAGATGACTGCAAGAGCACAGCGCAGACTGCTCAATGAGGTGAAGAAGAATCCTAGCGTGTCAGCTAAAGACTTGCAAAAGTCACTGGCAAATGCTAACATCCCTGTTAGCGAATCTACAATACGTAAAACACTAAACAAGAATGGATTTCATGGGAGGATACCACAGAGGAAGCCACTGCTGTCCACACAAAACATTGCTGCACGTTTACAGTTTGCACAAGAGCACCTGGATGTTCCACAGCAGTACTGGCAAAATATTCTGTGTACAGATGAAACCAAAGTTGAGTTGTCTGGAAGAAACACACAACATTATGTGTTGCGAAAAAAAGGTACAGCACACCAACATCAAAACCTCATCCCAACTGTGAAGTATGGTGGTGGGGGCATCATGGTTTGGGGCTGCTTTGCTGCATCAGGGCCTGGACGGATTGCTATCATTGAAGGAAAAATTAATTCCCAAGTTTATCAAGACATTTTGCAGGAGAACTTAAGGCCATCTGTCTACCAGCTGAAGCTCAACAGAAGATGGGTGTTGCAACAGGACAATGACCCAAAGCATAGAAGTAAATCAACAACAGAATGGCTTAAATAGAAGAAAATGCGCCTTCTGAAGTGGCCCAGTCAGAGTCCTGACCTCAACCTGATTGAGATGCTGCGGCATGACCTCAAGAAAGCGATTCACACCAGACATCCCAAGAATATTGCTGAATTGAAACAGTTCTGTAAAGAGGAATGGTCAAGAATTACTCCTGACCATTGTGCACGTCTGATCTGCAACTACAGGAAACGTTTGGTTGAAGTTATTGCTGCTAAAGGAGGTTCAACCAGTTATTAAATCCAAGGGTTCCCATACTTCTTCCACCTGCACTATGAATGTTTACATGGTGTGTTCAATAAAAACATGGCAACATTTCATTCTTTGTGTGTTATTAGTTTAAGCAGACTGTGATTGTCTATTGTTGTGACTTAGATGATGATCAGATCACATTTTATGACCAATTTGTGCAGAAATCCATATCATTCCAAAGGGTTCACATACTTTTTCTTGCAACTGTAAAAACATAAAGAAAACACTGTTGAGTAGTTTCATTAAATATGACACATGTAATTCCGGGCTAGGTTATGCATGTCGGGTGAGCTACAACAGCTCTTAAACAATTCTTATCATTAACTAAGAGTGTTCAAGTGGAAACACAATTGTTTCTAATTTGGGGGGTGTAGGAAGAGGACTTGTATTCGGAGCTCGGGGGTACGGATTATATCATTGTGGTCAGAGGATCTCAACCTAGGCATCAGATTTAGATTCGTAGTGGGCTATGGATGATGGATGGTAGTCCAGTGTGTCTGGGTTTAGGCTCATTAATGGACTCGTGAGAATTGGGCACAATGATTGGTTTCCAGATCAGGTTGAATGAGAATGGGTCTGTTCAACCTTGGTTGAATAATGAGGTTACTATAAATGGAGTAAAAAAATAACATAGATATGGGGTGTCATAACATCCTCTATTTTGGAATAGGAGCGTAGAAGAGGGATGGGAAGAGGGAAGCAGGATCCGCTATTGGCTGGGGGTCAGAATTTGTAATGATTTTAAATTTAAAACAAATGTAGATATGGATTTCAGCGCTAAGTAGATAATCCCCTTAAAAGTGAAAAAGGTGCATACATATGCAAAAATGAAAAAATCATACAAAAAAAGTGTCCAGAATGTATAGTACCGTAACAAAGTCCTGCAATGAAAAAGTCCAAATAACGTTGTGATATGTAGGAATTCAAAAGCATGTAGAAATACCTTGGAAAAAAAGAAACAGAAAAAGATACATAGCGTGATACTGTATCAAAAGTTTATTACCCAGCATAAAAATGAGAAAAATCCCCCCCAACTTCAAAACTCTTACATTAGATAAAACATGATACTCATCATAGTAGATTTTGCCGAAAAAGTTCTTTCATAGCCACTCGTATTCTTTCCTTAGAGACAGCTGCTCTCTGGTGCACTCAGGAGGGCTGCCCGTGATGTAGTCTATGGAGTAACGCTGGCTGAAAGTCCGGCTTCTATCGAGTACTTCTAAAATCTGCCACTGGTAGATCTGGCAGATAGACAATTGTAGCACCCTATCAACGCGTTTCGCCCTATCGAGGGCTTTTTCAAGATAGGTGCTCGGAGCATTGTTCGGCAGTTTTATACCTTGCCGGGTAAAACAAATTCAAATCTCTTAAGGGTATACACCCTTCTTAAAACACATGTTAAAAAGAGCAACAATTCATATGAACAAGGGCAAGTTGCTTCCCCATAATACTTCTAAAATCAATGTATAAAACACAATATTGACCAGATTCAATTTATGCTTAAATTTTAATTGCTAATTCCATACACAAATCCTAAACATAAAGTAATCACTGCGATAGTGATTGCTGTAGACATGCAAATACATCAGACTCATGGATGTCAATGTTTTAACTCATATAACATCAATGTTTTAACTCATATAACATCATAGGTATTACTTAACCAGTGATGTGAAAATAATAATTGAATCTTAACAAATAACCACAGAGTATATGAATTTATCAAAAGTATATCTATCCAATAAGAAACCTAATAGCAAGTAGTGCCCCCAGGACTGTAAAAAGGACAAAGTGCTAATTTTTAGGGACTTGTAGCATACAAAACCATGTCTAGTACATAAAATAGTAGGTTCATAAAAATATCATGATTAGTATTGCTGTATTCTATAAACTCCTAACATATAAAATCGAAACTTATATACTTGGTAAAATATATGTATATAAAATATATATGAATTATATTTATATCAGTGCATGTAGTAATAAAGCAATATAGATCTAGGGTTCCCAACTTCTTGGGAATATAAGTTCCCACCTTGATCAAAACTCTAGAGAAATAAAACAATAGGCTGAATATTATATACATGATTTAATGTTAGTTCTAATCCTATGTTATAATATGTTGGCTAATTCCAGCTCTGCATTCAGACCCGAGGGAATCAGGGTCCTAAGTGTATAGATCCAAAACATCTCTCGATATGTTAGGGTTTTGCTCAACTCCCCTCCTCTCCATGGTATTTCTACCCTTTCTATACCGCAATATGAGAGAAGTGTTGAGCAAAACCCTAACATATCGAGAGACTTTCAGCCAGCGTTACTCCATAGACTACATCACGGGCAGCCCTCCTGAGTGCACCAGAGAGCAGCTGTCTCTAAGGAAAGAATACGAGTGGCTATGAAAGAACTTTTTCGGCAAAATCTACTATGATGAGTATCATGTTTTATCTAATGTAAGAGTTTTGAAGTTGGGGGGGATTTTTCTCATTTTTATGCTGGGTAATAAACTTTTGATACAGTATCACGCTATGTATCTTTTTCTGTTTCTTTTTTTCCAAGGTATTTCTACATGCTTTTGAATTCCTACATATCACAACGTTATTTGGACTTTTTCATTGCAGGACTTTGTTACGGTACTATACATTCTGGACACTTTTTTTGTATGATTTTTTCATTTTTGCATATGTATGCACCTTTTTCACTTTTAAGGGGATTATCTACTTAGCGCTGAAATCCATATCTACATTTGTTCTTTGGAATTGGGAAAATTATTTTTGTTTTAGCAGCTATTACTGTTTGAGTACATTGGGTACTATTTTTATTGTCTTATTTAGACCACATATAGACTATTACGTAAGTCTTTTATTTGTAATACATGCGCTCTCTTTCTGACTGTTTATATTAAATTTAAAACAGTTGGCACCACAACAATAGCAGTGCAACAAACATTTCACCCTGGCATTGCTCAAAAGGGGTGAGCCAGCAGTACGGTCCCTGGGGACTAGCATGTAGGTGCTCTGTCTCAGAGTGTTATGTGGTGGGGTTACCCTCATTCCTTCACAAATATTATTACATATATTACATATAGCATATAGCAGAATAAACAAAACTGATATAAATATAAGTATAAAACAAACTGAGATTTTTGTGTGCTTTAATCAAGAGGTATATGCTTATCAACTCTAACCGTATACCAATTTGGAGTTTTTTCAGTAAAATAAAGCTGCTACAACACTAAATGTGCAATTCTCCCAAAACCACACAAACATTTATTGCATATACAGAAAATAGTGGAGTGTTATCTCAATGAGGCTTGGATCACAACGCATACCCGCAAGAAGGGGTAATACAATCATCATCAACTGGAGTAGGTTAACGCTAATAAAGGAGGTATAAAAGAGAAGAAACCAGACATAGGAGTCATATTATAACCCGACTGAGGAAGCCATAGGATGGTGAAATGGGTATCTGGACTATTAAAGACTTCACCTTCATATTTGGTTTTTAATAAGCTTGATTTATTGCACTTTTTTATTTTTTAATTATTGAAATAAATATAAATTTTTAAAAATCAACTTGGACTCCAGCAGTTTTAAAGAAGAGTGTGTGGTCCTTAACCACACTAGGAACCTTTACTGAGCCAGCATACAGGCTCCACACTTGTGAGTCTAATTGCTGTTTATTCACCATATGGAAGTATAAGGGGATCTGCACTATTACTGTGTTTCTTTTATCCTGAGTAAAACAAGGAAAGGAACGAGCACCATAACTACAAGATCCTGAAGGGGGAGTGGTTGCCCATAATGGATCAATAAGCTATACATACCAGAGCTAGGTTACATAGCTCTGGAAATTGTGAGTGTGCAATTGGCTTTTTCATATATCTTGCAATTGTTTTTAATCTTTTTACACTATTGTAGTTTGTTTCTCTATTTATTTATTTATATAGTATATACATACTTTTGAATTATTTTCATTCAGTCAAACTTTGCCTTATGGGTTACATGTACAATTTCTATACATATAGATACATTGTGATAATACCTTTTACAGTGACTAGCAAACTATTATATATCTTTTAAGCAGATGACAGCCACCCATGAATGTTTTTCTATCCATTTGGTTTTAGACATTTATCATCATAGTTAATACCACCAGTGAAAAAGATTTACCATCCAAAATAATAAAGTTGAGGTGACAGTCTGTGGATAGAAAACTTTACGAAGAATAAAAGTAGCTGGGTGTGTAAAGGGAAAAAGGGTGTTGGGGAAGAGGTAAAAGAGGGAAGTTGTCATGGGATTGGTGTGGAGGGGGAAGTAGTTCGTATAATAAAAATAAAACAAAAAAAAGTATCTTCCTTAATAAAAAATCCTATATAATTCACTTGTTTTTATCATAACTAAACCCCTATATCATATTTTTTTCCAATATATTCTACTGAATCAAATAAACAAACTCTTTCTAGCCCAATATGTCAATTCCAGCTGCAATTCCTATTGCATCATTGATACCATTGATCACTTACTTCAAGCTGGAGCTTGTAATAAGATGCAAAGAACAATTCTCAGACTTTTCTTACATGTTAGTTGGATCCAGTGTATGCTGTTTTTCTCTATTTGTTTTCAAGTAAGCTGCTTAGGTTTTTAGAATTATACATTTTAAATAAATTGACTTTTTATCCATATTGAATGTGCATCACTTTGTATTTAGATTTTTGAATGAGGCAAATTGACTAGAATAAGTGACTTTCAGGAATTAACATAATAAAGGGTATTCTTAACAAGTGAGTGCTTCTGTGTTCTATGCTGTTTCCTTATGATAACTGACGGTGGAGGGACTGGTCTGCAATACAAAGGTAGTACCACCTACAAACTGGTACAAAGTGTCTGTGTCCGAGAGTTGGTCTTTTTAGCTTCTACATAGTGAGTATGATCATTCTAGTTCAGATTCCACTAAAAACATAGGACTATATATAGAACTATATATATCTATTTAAATATGACTAAATATATATATATATACATTATTTCTTTTTTTTTTTTTAATGTACTCCGAGAACGCACATTTGAAAGAGTAAGAACAATCTGGGTAATTAATATATGCATGTTACTAACATAAGGTACAAATAAGAGCATTCAACTTTTCTCATTTTCTTCTGTGCATACCACGTGTTTGGGGATTTATTTTTAAGGTTTAAGACAAATATTTTGCCTATACTACAGTTGATATTTTCTAATCTTTACTTGACCAAATTGTATCATTGTATCCACCCAATTGGCAAAGGCAAGTGTTGCAATTTGTAGTAAAATGATTTCAGTACTGGAATTCACTAGGCACATGAATTGAATGTTTTTTTTTTTTCTAATTTAATTGAAAAAAAATAATTAGAAGTGGACCATTAAGACATGAGTTAATGACACAAGACATGAAATGAACCCGCTGACAAACAAAATTACTTGCTTGCTTGACATTGTTTTCTTTTGTCACACTAAAGAAATTCTTACAGTACAAAAGATCCCCATTGGAATTAGTGTAATAGGCAAATTCTTTCCTTTTATTACTCTCTGAAATACACTACCTAGTGTTAAAACTTGTACAAACCACCTAAGTACTGCAACTGGTTCATGACACATATCTAATTAATCTACCCTATGCATTCATGAGATGGGATGAAGGAAATAAAATGGAGTCAGTAACAAGAAAGAGTATAAATGAGTAATGGTGAAAATGTGAGAAATAAAAAGAAAATTATTAAAAATTAATAAAAGAATAAAAAAAAGAGAGCATGGCAATGAGAAGTAAGGTAGGAACTTATTCTACTAGCGTTATTCATTAAATTTCAAATTTTGACAAATTAATTTTGAATGGCAAACTTGAGATAAAAGTAGATAATTGGAAAATCTCTTCAACTCAGGTCCAATCACAGCTTGGCTATTTTGCTATTCAGTAAATAATTGTGGAAACTTGAGAGTTTAGTGACTAACCATGCCAAATAGGAAAAAACAAAAATAATCATTTTGATTTTTTTTTAAATTCCCACAGGTAAAACACTTAGTCTGTTTATAAAGTCTGTAAATGTGTGACAAATTCCCCCCAAAAAATAAAAAAATTACATGAAGGTTTTTTTTTTTTTTAGCTATTTATTAATTTTATTGTTAGTTTCATGGTGTCAGGTGCAAATATAATCCTATCCTAGACCAGTATCCATGTGCATTATTGAAATATTTCTGTGTAGGTAAGTAAATCCACACCATATTATATGTTGTACAAGTGCCAGATAACTGTAATACACTTACACATGGGTTTTTCAGGGATGGAAAAGAGTATATATCTGTGCCCAAGAGAAAAATTTTACAGAAGAATTGGGATGAAATAGATTTGTGCTTCAGTTTCAAACGAATTGCAATTCATCCAAATTGTGATCGTCAGGTTGTCCAAATTCCATAACTCATGTGACCAAATCACATAAAAAATTATATGAGCAATGAACAAACCGTTTCATGAATCTGAGTTTCATCTGTAGCGTCAATAACAAAGATAATTGATAGGATAAAAAATGATTGATGGTTGATTTTATTCACAGCTTACAGAACTTACAGAGGACAAACTGGAGAACCGGTAAAAATCTACATATTTATCAATTTAATATTTTATATATTTAATAAATACATTGTAGCAGACCACCACTATCCCAACTGGATAACTCCGCATGTTTCCTCTCTCAGCTGAAATCAGGAACGGATGGTGTTTATAGCCCCTTTCCCCAGACTTCAGACAACACATGATGCTGGAAAAAATAACTGGTTTTGTTGCACGCAATGCAGTCTTGTATGTACAGACCCCCAGCATGGGGTCTCCATTCACTATACAGAAGAACCCCCCCCCCCCCAGGCATCTCTGTGTCTAGGAGATAATTGTGTCAATGCTCTCTAAACTAATTATCTCAAAACAGTGTGATAACACTCCTGAACCCTGACATGTTAAACATCCCCAAAACGTGCTCTGTCCATGGAGGTTTAGGGAAACACCACCCTGTTGAAGTTTGGATAGTCTGCTCCGTAAAACAGTGTTTACAGTTATATGTCGATGTTTTAACAGGGTCTCTGGTGTGTCGAGGTAAGGGGGCTCTCCTGGCTCCCAGGTAGCAAACTCTAGCTCCCCTCCAAACAGCTCACTCATTGAACCTTGTAGTAACCAGGCTAGAGGAATGTTTGCCGGAGTTCTATGAGATCTATGGACACGTTAATAAGTCTGTGAGACTCTGGCTCAGTGTATTGGTTGTAGATGGGGTAAAAGGCGCTTAC